CCTGGAGAAGGGCTTTAGACATGGGCCTGTAGGGACAGGCCAAGGGGAATGGCTTGAACCTGCCAGAGGGGAGATGGAGATGAGCTCTTAGGCAGAAGCTCTTCCCTGTGAGGGTGCTGAGGAGCTGGCACAGGGTGCCCAGAGAAGCTGTGGCTGCCCCATCCCTGGCAGTGCTCAAGGCCAGGTTGGATGCAGGGGCTTGGAGCAAGCTGCTCCAGTGGAAGGTGTCCCTGCCCATGACAGGGGTTGGAACTGGATGAGCTTTAAGGTCCCTTCAAACTCAAACCAGGTTGGGATTCTATGAATTGCTGTGGGCACATGGCAGCATGGAAGGTATGCTGTCCTGCTGGTTGCTGGTATATCACAAGACTCAGAGCAGGAGCAGCACTGCTCCATTAGAGTTTTGGTCCTCAGAAGATACCACGGTGTACGGAAACAGTGATGTGCTGCTCAGACACTGTGACAGAGAGTAAGACCTCTCTGCCTTGTTTATTAATGACATTATGGGCAGCATTCCGCCAGGGAATGCCATAAGTGCTGTGTCCTAGAGCTCTGAACATGCTGCACCAGCAAGCTGGGGGACAGTGGCACATCATTAATTTGGGAGCATGTGCTCACTTTCTGGTGAGTTATTATCTTGTCAGAGGCTCAATGGAAGCAAATGGGTAGGAGGAGGCAGAAGGGAGACGAGTCAGGCTGGGAAAACCTGGAGAAGCAAAGGGTAAAGGCAAGAAGGGAGGAACACGGATGTAGGAGGGGTCTGCTGTCCTCATCCATCCACACTGTGTGGGACCCCAAGTCCTAAATAGTGTGTGATGGTTTATGCCAGGATCCCGCTCTCCATCCAGGTGGATTCAGGTTCTGGTTTTCCATCTCTCCGGCTTGCACTGGGTTAGTTCATCATCCTCAGCTGCTGAGCAAGGATTACGCTTGTGCCTAGTCCATTTCTGGCCTGTATTATATTATTAGTATTAATAATAATAATGAGGGGTGCTGGCTGTGCTGGTTTTCTAGTTCCTGAGGAGATGAGAGCACTCTCCCATTAATTCCTGCAATATTTCAGCTCCTAATTGTGCTCAAGCAGAGGCAGCCTTGAACAGTTCCCACCATCGATTCCAGCTCTGGGGGAGCTCCTGGAGCTGCAGGGCCCTGGGCCAGAGCATCCCTGAACATCCCTGAGCTCTGGGTGCTTTTGGAGGTGGGGATGGAGGGAGCTGGGTTCCCACTGCATTGCTTTAGCTCTAGTTTCAGATGGGTGGCGGGATGACTGCAGTGCAATCCCAAAGGGATACATGTGAGGTGTTGGAGAAATAATACCCATCCAAACCCCACCTAAGGCTTGCCTTGCTCCTAAAGCCAGGGAACTGAGCTTCACCCAAAGCAGAGCCCGTGTTTATGAGCCCTGTGTTTATCCCAGGCTGTATTTGCTGAGCCCCGGCCCTGCTCCCTGGGTCCCATCTATTTGGGTTTCTATTTCTGGCAGTCACTAATGAATGAGATTTGTCCAGCTGTCAGGAAGACTTCCCATTATAAACAGGCAAGAAAGCAGAGGCCAGGGAGTCATATTGTTGGGCAATTACTCTCTGGTCATACCTTTGTCCCTTGGCTGCTGAAGCAATAAGGCAGTGAAGTGACTTTATGGACCCAGTTTTCCTGCAAATCCCTTATGCGGAAGGGGATGGAGGAACACAGCAAGTGGCTTCTTCACCTGGTGTCCTCAGGGCAGGAATCACTGATTTCACCTTATTCCTTGAGATGCTGAAGCCGGCACTAAGGAAGCAGGATGTGGCCAGCATCTCATGCAGGAAGGTCTAATGCTGTCGTCGTTGTTAGCTGAGTAATACCAGATTGTGCAGGTGTCAGCCCTGGCTCAGAGCATCCCATTTTGGTCCTGGGTGGGCTCTGCACACCAATGTCCATGTGCTGCAGCTGAAAACCCAATGAGCCAGACTCCAAGCCCTGAACTCTGCACTGCTGATTACTATGTGCCTATCTCAGACTTCAGTACAGGCACGGAGGAAACCTTCATCTCCCAATTTTTGGAGCTTTTGCAGGTGGAAAGCTGACCCTTGCAGTTACTTTAATGAAGTCTTTTGCCCGGGAATGAAACACGCTCGAGGTGCTTTGCTCCCAGATCAAACTGGGCCTGCAAACTACAGCTTGGCTATAGAGAGACCTAATTCTTGCTGTGTGTGAGCTGGCTCCGGAACACTCAGGCAAGAGCCTTTGGGTAGTTGGGAAGCTGAGTGGTATCTGAGAGTTTGGAAGCAGAGTGTTATCTGAGCCTTTGCACAAACCTGACTCACATTTGCTCATCGGAGCATCTGAAGCCCACCGGCTGTGGCGTTATTTTATCAGCAGGCAGCGCTGTGCTACAGAGAAGCTGATTCTGGGTCAGCTATAAAAGGGATGACTTTTCCCTCCCCTCTCTCCTTCTGCTGCAGCGAAGTGGTGCCAGCCCGACGGATTTAACGCTGGAATTTGTGTGTCTGCAACTAATTTGGGGGTAAAACCTTCATATGCTGCCCTTCAATTGTGCTGAATGATGAGCTCAGCAGCTTTGCCCGTCAGGCCCTCGGTGGGGTTGGCGATGAGGGTGAACATCGTAACTCATCATATGGGATGCACAGGAAAAGCTGCTTCCCCCCCTTCCCGAAGCTCATGGGGTCGGTCTGGAACTGTGGGATCCATATGTGTGTGTACAACGACCTCAGTTCAGTGGGTGTGCGAAGTCCCAGGGTCCCCATGATGTTTGGTGCAGGGCAGAGCCAAGCTGTGATTTCCTGACATTCCATATCTCTGCTATATGTGTTTTAGAGACAGTTACTTGGGTATGCAGCAGTAGAAAAAGCATATTTATTTTGGAAACATGATTCCCTGGCTCCAGTTAAAGATGATGTTAAGTCCTACCTTTATGGGTTGAATGGGTCTCTACTGCCAGCGCAAGTACCACAAGCATCTTGTGGTTTGTGAATACAAAGACATTTTATCTTGACATCAGTGACCATAATGCAGATCATGGAATAGGAATTGAACATGGCATACTGCACACTGCAAATTCCCATGTCTAGAAGATGCTGTAGCAGAATAGCTGTCAATCTTGTCATTTATCAGCCGGATGGACAGACTTCGCTTGCTCCTAATATGAGTGACTGGAACATCAGAATCCGTCTGTGACAGAGACCTGTGAGGGTGCTGAGGCCCTGGCACAGGGTGCCCAGAGAAGCTGTGACTGCCCCATCCATGGCAGTGTTCAAGGCCAGGTTGGACACAGGGGGTTGGAGGAAGCTGCTCCAGTTGAAGGTGTCCCTGCCCATGACAAGGGTTGGAACTGGATGAGCTTTAAGGTCCCTTCCAACCCAAACCATTCCATGAATCTATTATTAGGACTGAGCATCTTTGCAGTAGCTTAAGCAGACAATCCCATCTGCGATGCTGAGCAATCCCAAACCTGGGTTTGCAGCAGCAGGATCCCAGTGGGTGCTTATTGCAGGAGCTCACCCTGTTGAGCTGTACAGGAGTGTAACAGAAATCACACCGGGGCTTTGTGTGTTTCCCAAAGAGCCACATCAGTGGGTGGTGGCGTGTGGCCACATTCACTATTGATGTACCATGTGAAGGGATGCTACAAAAGCCTCAGCAGCAGGATGCGCCCTGGCAGAAGCATCCCACGTGGATAATTTGCATGGATTTATCAGGAGCAAGATGCACACGGTTCACTGGTCAAGTGCAGCGAGCTGTGGCTCATCAGGTAGCCGGGTGGAAAGCGAGGGTGAGGGTGGGATCACCAGGATCCACCGGCTGCATCCCACAGGGACCTGTGCTTGGCCTCTGTGCCATTGGCACTCACTGCTGGCAACAGCTGTCCAGAGCTAATTTATTTCCTAATGCTGCAGCAATGTTAATTTATAAATTACACTGGTAATTCCAGCTATTATTAATTTCAGATGGTGTAGGGCAAGCCAAATTAAAATATGACACCAATTGCCACACATATGTACCAAGGACTAGCGTTTAAAATTTATAGGAATATTAAGTGTGACACCGGTCCCGGAGATGCTTTGCACAGTAATTACAGCACCTCGGCCATCAGTGGGAGATCTGGTAGAGAGATGGGAACAAAAAGAAGGGAGAAGGGAAAAGTTGTCCGTGCTGTTTGTTCCTGCTGCGTTTCCTCGGGATGTGGATGTGTCCTAACTGCCAGGTTTCTTGGTTGAAATCTGTGCTTGTTGTAATACTGCGATCTCCAACTGGGAGACTGTTGTGGTCCAGCACCAGAGCGTTGCTGTTTTCCAGGGATGCTTCAAAGTGAAGCAGGCTCTTGGAAGAGAGGGGGCTGCATCTGTGTGGCTTTGAGCCAAACTGGAGGGAAAGGCGAGCAAGCACAGAGCCCCATGGGCACCATAGGAATGAGCCTGCAGCAGTCATGGGATGAAGTGTTTCAGCTGAAGGGAGGTGTTGGCACCAAAACTGATGGGAATAAAGTGGTTGTAAATGAATTGAAGCTGAAAAATTAGAGAGAGGTGTCCATGTCTGAACACTGTTTGAAGGGTTTGAACACTTCCATCCCTGGAAGTGTTCCTTTACTCTATAGGCAAGGCCCTTAGTGACATGGGTTAGTGGTGGCCTTGGCAGTGGTAGGGTAAAGGTCTTTTCCAACCTGGGTGACTATGATTCTGTATGAGCCCAGCAAGATGGTGAGGTGGGGTGTACAGCTGCCAATAAGAGATGATTTCAGGTCATTGTTGCAGGGCACATGTGGAGATTGGTGCAGGTTTGGCGAGGACAAATTTGCCCACCCTTGGGACATTGTCTCCAGCAAGTGATGCTCTTGGTGGGGCCAAAGCCATCGCAGAGGTCTGTTGCTTGGGAACACCTTTCTGGCAGGGGTTTTGTTGGGATGGTGGAACACATAGAAGGTTTAGGTGCTCTGTGCAGATACACATACAGTTTTGCCATCCTTTCCCATCACTCATGGCCCTTTCCCTTTGTCCCTGCAGCTGTGGGCTTCATCAGTGAGGATGAGTACCTGGAGATCACAGGCATCACAAGGGAGCAGTCTGGGGAGTATGAATGCAGCGCCTCCAATGATGTGGCAGCGCCCGTGGTCCAGCGAGTCAAAGTCACTGTCAACTGTGAGTAGACAGGGATGGGGTTGGATATGCCACCCCATGAGGGGATGGGATTTGGGAAGCAGGAGCAGCAAGAGTTTATTTGAACAGGTTGTGGTTTGCCCTTTCCCCCCCTTCTTTTCAAGCTGCTTTTTTTCCATCACCTCCTCCTCGGCTGTCTCCATCAACCTGGGTTTTCCACCCATGGTGAGATGCTGTGCTGATAACCTCTGGGGAGACGAGAGAAGTGAGCAATAAACAGGAATTTTTTCTATTAGAAAGAATAAGAGAGAGAGAGAAAGAAAGAGAATGAGGAAGCAAGCAGCATATTTCATGCTCTGATAGAGCTGAAGACCCTTCTAAACCCCTTTGTGGCCACTCATTGCTTAGCACAAGGACACACATGGTACCCAAGGGATGGGGGCTCCAGTCCTCAGAGAAACCCTCACTCATCTGCAAATTGGGGTCTCCCATGAGCCCCAAACCCCTTGGACAGGAGCATCAGGGGCTGGACACGGGCTTGGAGATAATTTTGGCCCCTTCCTAAGTGCAGAGAAATGAAAAGGAGTTTAAGGTGCAAGGGCAAGGGATCAGATGCCCCCAGGTGTTGACCCAGGTTTCCCATATTCCCCACAGACCCGCCATACATCTCGGGTGCAAAGAGCACTGGGGTGCCAGTGGGGCAGAAGGGCATCCTGATGTGCGAAGCTTCTGCTGTCCCCTCTGCTGACTTCCAGTGGTACAAAGATGACAAAAGGTAAGATCCTGGGGGACAAAACTGGGAGGGGACCTGGTGTGGGACCTTCCTCAATGGGGCCACAATAACCAGTTGAATTCCCAATAACCCTCAGCACAAGCCAGGTTGGGATGCTGGGATGCTGGGAGGGGGTTTTTCCAGCTGCCTCTTTCAGCCAGACAGGTTTTCCCTCCCTGTGCAGGCAGCACAGGCAGGATCACTGCTACCCGTGCCTCTGTTTTAAGGTAAATCCCTGCTTAGGTGAAGCATAACATCCGAGAGTGATATTGGCAGCACAAATCCAAGCACTTAGGAGAGGATGAAATCCCTGTCATCTTTTTAAACACTTTAGCCAGAAGGCAGAGTCAGCTCCTTGCTCTTGGAAAGGCAAAAGAAATGAGGTGTTGAGAGACAGGGTTTGCACAGCGATGTGGCTTGGGAGCAAGGAGAACAGGGAAGGATCCCACTCTGGAGTGAATGACCCCAGGCAAAGGGTTTTAACCCATTTGACATGGGTTAGTGGTGGGATTTGGCAGTGCTGGGGTACAGGTTGGACTTGATGGTCTTAAAGGTCTTTTCCAACCTGGCTGATTCTATGATTCTGTTTTCCCATTGCTTCTCCCTGGGAAGCCCGAAGGGGCTGCGGTGTGGCTGAACACAGCACAAGCCACCCAGGTCATTAAAAGAAGGCGTGTTTTAGCCAAAAAAGATGCTCCAGAAGCTAGAGGAGAGGTTGGAGCTGCCTATTTTGGGGAGGAAAGGAGCAAGAGGAGTGTAAAAGCAGTGGATGTTTGCGTGAGAGATGAAAGGCTTTACTCAGAAGTAGGTCACATCACAAGGGCCTGCAAAGCAGATGGGTGCTCAGAGTGTAGCAGGGGTGAGAACGGAGATGCAGCACCTCCTGGGAGGAAATAGCAAGTAAAAGAGCTGCAGGAGCTAAGCAGAGGGGGGACACCGGCTCAGGGATGTCAAAGCACTTGGGTGATGCTTCAGGTTTGTGTCAGCTGAGGAATGCCTCCCTGCTCCATGGTCCACACAAAGGCATGGGTGCTGTGCATGCTGCAAGAGCTGGCAGGGTGAGGGGTGAAGGAGGGAGCAAGAAGGCACCCCACAGAGCAGGGAGGACTGAAAAGCCCTCGAGGCTGATGTAAGTGGGAATCCAGGAGCATTTCCCATATTCCCTCCCTGGGCATGGGAGCATCCCTCCCTCTGCATGGCTTTTGGGAAGCCCCAACCCCTTCAGCAGTGACTTTGATGGTTGCCTCTGATGGGGATGGTGCAGGGTGGCAGCTAAGGGATGAGAGCCAGCAGAGTAGCATCCATCTTCCCTATCTCTCTCAATAACTTCCCTTCTCCCTCCTCATCCCTGATCTTTGTCGCAGGCTCTATGTCCCCACTCACAGGGAGGACCAGGGGATGGTAGGTCATGCAAAACAGTGGGTGCTTCTCCTCCTGATGCCATCACAGTGACCCTCTCCCATTCTGCTTTCTTCCCAGGCTGGCTGAAGGTCAGAAAGGACTGAAAGTGGAGAACAAAGCCTTCTCCTCCAAGCTGACTTTCTTCAATGTCTCCGAGCAGGACTATGGCAACTACACCTGCGTAGCCTCCAACCAGCTAGGAAACACCAACGCCAGCATGATCCTCTATGGTGAGTAGGGCAGAGGGAGACGGATGGGGAACAGCTTAACAGGGAGATCACCAACATGAGAGACATGGGAAGGGTCTCCTTGTCTTTTGGGGGAGATGTGCTGATCTTTTGTGCTCTGGAGCATGGGTTGGAGGTCGTGGTGAGCTCAGGGAAAGTGGAAAACCTCCAAACCTACCTCCTGATACGGGTCCTGTGCCTGCCAGTGTTGAGGGGTTTGGGATCTTCTGTCAAAGCCAAGTTAGGACTTGACTGCAAGTTTCCATCTTCTCACTGTGACAAATACCAAGGAGAACCTCTGTTTGAAGGCCCCCAGGGCTCCACCACCTTCAAGGTCATGTTTTCCCCTCCTACCAAGCAGATATATTCTTACTGATGGTGCCAGCAGGAATGGAAAGGTGCAGAGGGCCAGGAGATGGGAAGGTGTAGATGGCAGGGAGGAGAAGAACCTGTGTACTCTCATCTAGGGACTGATTTCTCTGAGTACCAGAATTGGGATGAGAGCAATGCATCCATCTGATACTGCTCAGCATGTATCAAGCAAAGCCGGAGCAGGGGCAGTGATCCCCAGATCCCCCTCATGGCCATCAAGAGCTGAAGGTGAACATCAAGCCTTGTCTCTGGCCACTTCCACAGGGATATTTCCTTGCCAGGGATATGGGGTGAGAACCATATGGGAAAAGCAGGGCTTGAGGACCTGTGCCCTCTCCCAGTATCCTCTCCCATCTCTCCTTGCCACGCGCCTTGTCTTCTCCTTGTTATTGCATGGTCAGGCACAAGCTTCATCATTCCAGACCCATCGATGCGGTGGCTCAGGGCTAGCAGGCTGTACTCTCAGTGATGCAAAGAGCACTGGGGTAGTGTCATTCCCAAAGCACAGGTTGGGTTGTTAATGTGCTGGAGCAGCACAGGATGCATATGGAGATGTTGGGAAGCAACATCCACTTCTCACCATCCTTGAGGAGGGGCTGGATATGGTTCAGGGGATGAAGGGGCAGATGGACAACCTGTCTAGTGTCAGTATTGGGTTTCCCTGAGCTGTGGCAGGGGAGTTTGTTCCATCTGGGATGCTCGGCTCTGTGCCTGCAGCCCTGATGCAGAGCTAACCTTGGATGTTCATGAGCCTAACACCCATTTGTTCTCCCAAAACATCCAAGTGATGAACATCAGCATCTCTACCTGCCCATTAAACCATCATTATCACTGCCTAGGAACTCAGTTCTCTTCCAGCCTTCCTGGTCATTGGTGCCCCAAATAACCCCCTTTCTTTAGGGACAATGGCACTGCAGAGCTGCCTGGGCCTGGCTCCATCCATGCTGCTGCCTGCATACCATATCCTGAGCCACATGTTCTTCCTTAGCTTTGATGGTTTAGGCTCCCTGTGGGGTTTCTGAGGCTAAAATCTTAATTAATGTGTGACCTCAGTTTGGCTGGGTGAACCCCCAAAAGGGAAGATGACTTTCTGCTGCTGGCTCTGTACAAGCTGTTAGTTGGTTTCCAACCCATGGGTGATGTTCTGTGTGACTGCAGTGTCAGGCAGGATGCAGGGAAGCATCCCACTACAGCCTAAGCTTGTTTTATGATCCCTCTTAGCTTTGTTTCTGTGTCTGTGAATCCCATCAGGGAACACACTTGGGAGTCCTTTGATCACCCATCATTTCCGTAGAGCAATATTGGTTTAATAGTATTACTAATTGTGTCCCACTGGGGGTGACGGCTCTTGAGCTGCCCTAAACCACCATGGACAAGATGTTTTGGGGGACAGTTTTCAGTGCATCCCATTTTTCCTACAGCTGAGTGAGTGTTTTGGACATTCCCTCCCCTCAAATGAAGGTTTAATCCATGCGGATCCCATGACATGAGCTTTTTGGGAGCTGAGTGACAGAGGCTAATGTAGTGTTACATCTTCTAATCCTTCTTTTAATCTCATTTTTCAGGAAGGTCAACTAGTGCTTTATTTAACATGTAGCACTTGTTATTATAGGCTCGCTGCCTTGTGCAGCGGCTCATTTGGTGCTGTCTGGGAGGTGATGGAGTGTTCCACAGCCTTGTGTGGAGTTAGGGAGAAGAGAACAATCCCTCTGATTCTCTTCCATCAAATGGTCCACTTCCAGAGACTGAGAAATCCATTTGGGATGTTGCAGGGTTATTGGAAGGGATGGGCCCTGAACCCTGACAGAGGGGAATAAGAGGAGCATAAGGAAGCGCTGAACCACCAGAATTCCCCATATCCCAGCCCCTGTGCTTTGCCTTTTGTCAGGCTATCACCATGGACATTGCCAGTCCCACTGGGTTCCCACAGTCCCTAGCTTGTCTCAGCTCATGGACCACTATCCCCAGATGGGGGGACTGTGCCCCTAGAGGAGCAGGCTGTGATTTGGGCAGCAGCATCACACTTTCTACCCCACCTGCTTGCTCTCCCTGGCCCCAGGTCGAGCGCAGTGTCTCGAGCCTGCACTTTCCATTGCCCTTTTGCCTTAACTTTCCCTTGTTCTTTAATTTTTAGAAGAGACAACTACTGCCCTGACACCCTGGAAAGGTCAGTAATTTGGGGACCCCTGCTATGCCAAGCGCTCCCCCTTGCTCCATTTCCCCTTGGGCCCCACTGGCTCCCACCCCAACTCATCCCAGCCAGAGTTCCTGCCCCACAACCCCAGTTCTCCTGCTGGAATAGCAATGAATTAGGGCTTTCTTGTTGTTGTGTAGCTGTCCTCCCATCCCTCCTCCTCCTTGCTAGCTATTGTGCCCGTCCAGTGAAGTCTGTGCCTTCTGCATGTCCCGCCTTCTTCTCCCTGTTCTTGGGGTGGAGATGGGTTGTCTCTGATCTGCTTTCCATGTGTTGCTGTGTAATTGAGTCTCGTGGCAAGTCCTGCCTCCTCTGGGATGCTTTTAGTGCTTATGCTGAGATGCTGTAGGGGTGGAAAGGTGGATGGTCCTCTTCCTGGTGTTATCTGTGGCTTATCATAAGAGCAGCTGGCTCAGTGTCATCTTGATTTTCGGGTTCCATAGCAATGCAGCTTCATTTGTGCCTTGGGATGGCTTAAAGATGTTGGGAGGGCTGTGGAAGTAGCACAGGGACAGGCACATCTTCAGATCTGCCCTTGCATTTGACTTCCTGACCATGCCAGGAGCTGGGACTCAGTGGGAAGCCCCAACCCTAACACCTTGCGAGGTGTCTGTGAGTGCTACTGGTGGGAGATCAAGTGGTTAATGGTTCTTAGTGCTCCACTCAGGCTTTGAAGTGAAGGGATGTGTTGGGGTTTCTAAAGCAGGTTGAGCAGATCTTGTGGGCAGCCCTGCTACATCAGGACCTGCTTCCCCTAGAACTTTTCCAGCTAGTGTTCCCCTTGGCCAGCTATCTGGGGTGTCTTCATGGAAGCCATTGGGTCAGGAATCCCCCACGTCCTTTCCCACATTGAGCCATGAGCTCCTCACCCTCTGTGATCCCCAAAGGCATGGATGGACTTGGCTCTTCCTGAGCACCCTCCTCATGCCAGTTTGTTCTCAAGATGGTGTGGGCCCATGGGCAGAGCACTTTATGAGTGGTGAGTCCCACAGAAGCTCTGTGGAGTTGCAAAACACCAAGTTCTGGATGCAGTGTTGGTGACAGTGTCTCTGCTGGATGGGCAAGGGGTTATTATGCCCACACAACACAAAGAGGAGGGAGATAACAGGGTGGTCAGCCCTATGTGCTGACTCACTGGGGCTGGCAGAGTGTGGACAGTGTTGGGCAAAACCCATCTTGTCCTCTACAAGTGTGACTGGAAATGTGGACAGACAATTTTGGGTGAAGGACAAAGGGCATTGAGGGGGTTTAGTTGGTGGTGATGAGCAGGGGATGATCTCAGTATGGGGTATCAGGGCCATAGGGAGATTATGGAGGGGGTTATGCCCCAGAGGTTGGGGTTGGTAATGGCATGGGCAGATGCAGATACCCACTGTGCTATCAGAGCCATTACATCAGGGGCCCAAATGATGTGGGTTTGTTGGTTTTCTTTTCATAGAAACATAGAATCAGCCAGGTTGGAAAAGACCTTTAAGATCATAAAGTCAGACCTTTATCCCAGCACTGCCAAGGTCACCACTAACCCATGTCATTGAGGGCCTCATCTACATGGCTTTTGAACACTTCAAGTGTGGTGACTCCAGCACTGCCCTGGGCAGCCTGTTCCAATGTCAGAGCACCTTTAGGGAAGAAATCACTCCTCATCTCCATCTAAACCTCCCCTGGTGCAGCTTGAGGTCATTTCCTCTTGTCCCATCCCTTGTTCCTTGGGAGAAGAGACCAGCCCCTCACTCCAACCTCCTTTCAGGTAGTTGTGTTTTAGTGGGTTTTATTGGCTCCGTGGCTAACCACCGGGTGTTCCTCTCCCGTCCACAGGTCCCGGTGCAGTCCACGATGGGAACAACGGCGCGTGGCGGCGAGGAGGCTGCATGTGGCTCCTGGCCCTGCCACTCGCCCAGCTCGCCCGCCACTTTTGACCTGAGAAGCCGGCCCGCGGAGCAGCGGCGGCGATGACCATGGCCAGCGAGTGCAAGCAGAAGGGAGAGGAGGAAGAACAAGAAGAAGAAGAAGAGCAAGAAGAAGAAGATGATGTGTTCACCGTTTCCGAAAATAATCATAAGAATTGAGAGAGTATCCGGCCAGGCCACCTGGGGAGGGGGACAGAAGCACCAAACCATGCAACAAACCGCAATGAGAATTTGGAAAGGAGAGAAACGACAACAAAAGCAGAACAAATCCCAGGCTTCCTGCTGAAGATGCAACGCAACTGAGTCTTCTTTTCTTTTTTTCCCTATTTTTTTTTTTTTTTTTGGTCTCCCAGGCCTTTTTTTCTCCCCTTTTTCGCTGTTCTCTTCCCACAGAGGACAAGCAGGGCCATGGGGCACGGCGCTTCCCACCACCCGCCCGCTCCTTCCCACGGGACCCTCCATGCGGACGTGCCGGTTCTCTTCTTGGCTGAGATTTCCCCGTCTTCTCATGGACTGTGCCGCCATTTGTGTTCCAGAATATATATATATATATCCACATATACATATATATATATATATGTATAGATATATAGATCTTCAACAGTTACCACACCACCACTGACAGAAAGGGAGGAAGGAGACCGGCGTCGAGCCACGCGTTCATCATACCACCCGTGGACATTGTGAATGAGAAGGGATTCTGTATCATGGTTCATTTTATTAATTGTATTTTCTGATACGAGCCTAGAACTCTTAGTTCCTAAAAAACAGAGATGCAAAAAACGAGGGGGAAGAAAAAACAAAACAAAACAAAAGGAGGAATAAAGAAGAAAGGCAGAAAGGAGAGGAGGAGCGAGCAGAGAGAAGTTGTCAAGCGCCGCGCAGCCAAGGAGGCATGGAGAAGGAAGAGAAGGAGGAGGAGAAGGAAGAAACCTGTGCAAAATCCCCCCAAAACCGGCCCAAAAAGCAGTCTGATGTCTGAACATTTCTTGCCAAGGGCACGGGCAACTCTCACCACGCGTCGAGGCGGAGGGAGACACTAAATCTTTTTATGGGATATATATATACAGTATATATAAATATACATATATATATATATATAATTTTTCTTTTTGGTTAGCCTTCTAGCCACGGTTCCCAGCTGGGTCCTTCCGCTGCCATTACTGCATGCTGTATATGGAGTTAGGTGTGTATTGGTCCTCAACGAGACCAGCGTCTTGGTCCACATGTCCCCACACCCCTTCACCTTTCTGCTCTCGGGTCACCGGTGACAAAGGGCCACGGGGGACCGGGGCCCATCTCTGTCGCCTTTTGCCGTGGGGCAGGGATAGGGGGAGATCTATGTAGCTCAGTTTTCTATTTTTATATATATATATATATATGTATGTATATGTGTGTGTGTGTTTGCGTGTGTGTGTGTATATATATATATATATAAAAAACAACAAAGAGATAAGGAAAAGGCGGCGAAGCGATGGGCACCCGGCCACCCCGAACCATGGGATTGGGAATGTTCCAGTGGTGGGTCTCTCCTGCGGTCACTTTTCCTCCTTTGGGTTCCTTTCCTTCCCTGCAGCTGACAGCGGGGGGCACGCGGGGAGCACGGGCGGGCGGCGAGGGGGGGCTCTCTCTGCCTATCCATTAAAACGATTGTTCCATGTGGCCGCTCCGTCTGGTTGTGGTGCTCATTGCCGTGCTCTCCCACCCTGGGTGACAGGGAGGGACATGGGGAGGGACACCGGGAGAGAAGGCACCCTGGACCTCACCAGTGACGTGTCACAGGTAAGGCTTTGGTGAGTATATGGGGAGTGTGTGTGGGGGTGGCTCTGCCCTATTTCCCTCATGCAGGATCCCACTCGGTATCCCAAAAGCTTCCCATGAGCCTCATGGATTGGCTGAAGCGAGTCCCATGGGAAAGAGACACGGTGATGAGGTGAGTGTAGGAAACTGGATGCCAAGCACAGGGTGAAGTGTCCTGGGCTGGAGTTTGGCTGTAGATACAACTTTCTTGTATCAGTCTTGGTGTTTTGCTGATGGTTACTTGGTGCTTTTGGTCTGTAGGCTGCGTATGCTGGTTTTCCTCAAGCTGCTGTTCTTGTAGGATCAGAAGCTGCTTGATAGTGATGGCAGGACTCTTTTGTTGGGGTTTTGATTTCTTGGCCTTTTGATGAGTTTGTGTCACCCAAGAGATGCACATGGAGAAGAGGGAGAGAGCAAAAAGAATGGTAAGGAGTCACCTTGTGACATATAGTGGCTGAGCAAAACTGGTCTGGCTCTTCTCCCAAGGAACTAGGGATAGGACAAGAGGAAATGGCTTCCAACTGCATCAGGGGAGGTTTAGATGGAGCTGAGGAACAATTCCTTCCCCAAAGGGTGCTCAGGCATTGGAACAGGCTGCCCAGAGCAGTGCTGGAGTCACCAGCCCTGGAAGTGTTCATACACTGTGTAGCTGAGGCCCTCAGTGATATGGGTCACTGCCTTGGCAGTGCTGTAGTAAAGGTGGACTTGATGATCTTAAAGGTCTTTTCCAACCTTTTTGATTCTAGGATTTGAGCAAAAGTCCCAAGTAAGGGACAGGGTAATGAGGATGTGGAGACAGGACTGTTGGGGCAGTTTCCAGTGTCAGGATGGCATTGGGAGGAGGCATCTGGCCACCCCAGCTCCAGGGAACACTGGAACCAGCCCTTTCCTATGGATGTGGGTTATAGGAGCAAGCATTGCAGCCAGATTTGTCTTTGGCAGCAGATGTACCTCTGTCTCTCCCAGGAAGAAAGGTGATGGAGGGCTTTGTGCGGCTCTTGGGGCTGCCAGGACGAGCAGAACCAGCCTGTCAGCACAGGCAGTGCTTGGGGGGCATGGGGAGTGCTCATACTCATAATGGGGATGGAGGTAATGGGGCCATCTCCTTCACCTCTCTGTAACTGTCAACTTTTCGGTGCTCTAGGTGAGAAATCAAGGAGTGTCTGATGCCAGAGGCTGAGGGACAAAGAGCAAGTTAAAGATTGAGAGCAAGGCTGCTCCGTGGATGTGTTTCTGTATTTATTTATTGACATACGTACTGGTGTCTCTTGGTGGTGGATAGGGATGGAAATAACACCCTCCATCCCTCTAGACCTAGCAGCTCAGGTCCTTGTCTTTAGGCACAAGTTGGGTGTTGTTGAGGGCTGGGGAGGAAACCATCCAAACCAGGAAGGGAGCCAATGGGCAACCCAAGGCCAGGGGCACGGGAAAAGGGGCTGCACTGCATCCCTGGTGCTGGTTGATGGTGTCAGTGAGGTGTGATGGCAGATGGGATATCAGGCTGTCTATAGGTGTTTATCTCCCGTGGAGGCTGATCGATTGCCAGACACCCAACAAACTTGTCATGGTAAGATGGGAAGCAATAGCGAGGCCAGACAGTGGTAAGATACACAGGGACTAATGTGAAAGAGACAAGCATTGCCTCATGGCACTTGCAGTTCTTGTAGTCCTAGCTCCCTGGCAGGAATTTGGTTTTGGAGAGGCTCAAAGCAGAGAAGGTTTCCCAATGGTAACGTTGGGAAATGGTAACACTGGGGAAAGCCTTTCGGGAAGAGGAGCACGGAGTCAGGATGTAGCTCATCCAAGGCAGGGAGACTTTCTGCCAGGCTCATACACCACAGGGACAGCAGTGTTTGGGACACCCGGGAAGGACACACAGTATAGGGCAGCTCACTCCTTCCCATACCCCTTTCCTGAGGAAGCACTTACCTTACTGCTGGGATCATTCAAGGGGGTCGCCAAGTCCCCTGTCCCCCTTTAGGGGAGCTTGTTGAATGTTTTCTCCCAGTAGATGGAGTAGAAATATGAAGCAACCCCTGGGGACTATCCCAGCCCCATGTTTTTAGGGTGAGATCATAGCTGTGCTAGGGAGCCAGCTTCTTCTGCTCCCGGTCCTTGTGGTCTTAGTCCTTTGATGAAGGCTTTTTGTCCATGTCACACACTGTCAGATCCCAATGGGAACAAATCACCCTTAGGAGTGTGTGGTCCACAGAGACTTTGTGGGTAGGTTTAGTTGTTAGAGCAGGTCTTGTTAAGAGACAATGGAGAAGAGGCCAGGAACTGCTCAAAGGAAGCTCCCAACTGAGCAGCTTCTGCAGAACTTAGGTGAGCCATAAGAGCAAAGCTGGTCTTTACCCTGCAGGGTCTCCATGAACAGGTACGTGTGGGCCCCAGGGGAGACACATGGGATGAGGGACACTTGAACAACCCCTGGTTGGGATGGGGGAGGTCGAAGCATCCATCATGGTGTTTATGGGGTCCATGAAGCAAAGCCCCAAAGGTACAAAGTTGGTCAAACTTTATTGATACACTGCACAATCACAACCATCTCTTATTCTTGCCGAATTAGAAAAGGTTACAACTACAATGTAACATGCACAAATCTCAGGTAGTAGAGCCACCCTTGGAATACAATGACGGAAACTCAAGACTGGCCATCACGGCCATAAGCCGGAGAGACCCGGGAGCCACATTCCCCCTATCCCGGGTGCCCGGCCACCCCCCCAGCGTCCCAACGGGGAGAGCCGGCCTCCAACAGCCAACACGTTCCTCACAATGGCACGTTACATGGCACGGGAATGTCAACCACCATCCGAGGCAGAGGATGGGGGAGCCCCAACCTAGGGAGGAGGAGGAGGATGGGGCACAGGGTGGCCCCGGCGCCGGGTTCGCTGGCATCAGCGTGCATCATGGTGTCTCGTCGTCACCTCCAATATGCCACTGCCCTTGTGCATCTGGGGCTATGTCAGCGTTTGCTGTGGGGACAGGGACATATGGGGCTGGTTGGGAAGGGGCACAGAGAGGTGGTGAGGGGCCGTCACAGGGTGGTTTTGACTGGTGAAGGTGCTGGGGCAAAGTATCTCCTGCCCCAAGGGGATTTTTGGAGCTGGCACATGAGAAGGATGTGCTTATCGCCACGCCGGCTGAAGATGGTGCCACGCAGGGCCATGTGCTAGGACCTAGATCACTGCTGGAGAAGAGGAGTAGGACCACAGGGACTGCAGGACATGGACTCTCCAGGTCAGCACTGTGCTGGATCCTCATCCATCAGGTAAGCCAGCGCATCGGGCCGTGTTGGTTTTAGCAGTCAGCCATGGTACATGTTGAACATCCAGGGTGTGGAGGCAGGAGCATCCATTGAGATGTTGTAGTTGCTGCTTTCTTTTGTGTAGGTTCTGCCCTTGTGGGGCTGCATAAAGGATGGAGAGGTGCCCATGGTGGCTTCTGGCTCGAGGGTGTAGCCCTCAATGACATGGTTTAGTGGTGGTCTTGGCAGTCCTGGGATAATGGTTGGACTTGATGATCTTAAAGGTCTTTTCCAACCTGGTTGATTCTATCACCCTGTGCGTTGAGGACCATCAGCCCCAGCTTTCTCCAGCAGGATGGCAGAGCAAGGAGGTTGTGGTAGCAGCAAAGTTTGCATGGGAAAGGCAGCATGTGCATGGTCATTGCTTTTAAGCCATGTCACTTACAGAAGGAGAAGGAAGGGACAAGGCATGGGGAGGCATAGAGCAGGACTTGGATGCTTTGTGTGCTTGCTCGCTGTGTTGCTATAGAGTTGAAGCTCTGTGTCCAGGCATAGGGTCTGGCATTGCAGGTGACTGTGCAGGGGCAGGACAGGAGGGTCTATCCCTGGTGTACTCCCAGGTGGACATGGAGCATTGGGAAGGCTCAGGGCTGCCACCACATACAGGACTGTGGTGCAGGATGCTGTTGGGGCTGTGATTCAGTAGGGAGGGAGGTTATGGGACCATCATCATGGGTAGCAGGGGAGAAAGCAGAGGGTAGAGTCTGGTTGCATCCATTTTGGTGTCCAAGGCATGTAGCAGCAGCAGGGATTGGCAAGTAGCAAGCTCAGGGCATAAGAGCTGTCCTTGTCCCTGCAGCAAGTGATGGAGCCAGAGCCTCCTCCATAGGGGCAAGTGCATTAGGTGGACTTTCTTCAGGCAGGGGCACATGGTGTGTGTGAGAAAAGGCAGAATGTGTGCTCCCACGTGTGTTCCATCCCTCAAAGAGCAGAGATACTTGGCCAGATGGTAGGAGAGGCCACCATGGGAGAAAAGGGAGGTGAGGAGTGGTCCCATCCCCTCTGGGTGCCAGTGTCAGGACCTGGTGTTTTGCTGTGTCATTTAGTGCCTCTGCCCAATGTGGTGGTGTTGTGCTTTTGATGTGCAGGTTGGAAAGTGCTTGGGAAAACAAGCCTGGAGGAACCTCCCCAACTACTTGAAAAGAGGTTTGAGTGAAGTGGGGATTTGTCTCTTCTCCAAGGGAACAAGGGATAAGACAAGAGGAAACAGCCTCAAGAGGTTTAGATGGAGATGAGGAACAATTCCTTCCCCAAAGGGTGCTCAGACATTGGAACAGGCTGCTCAGAGCCATGCTGGAGTCACCATCCCTGGAAGTGTTCCCAAACCATGCAGCTGAGGCCCTCAATGCCATGGGTTAGTGGTGGCCTTGGCAGTGCTGGGACAAAGGTTGGACTTTATGATCTTAAAGGTCTTTTCCAACCTGGTTGATTCCATGATTCCAAGTGCTGGCAGCACATCAGGGTGAGAGCCATGGGGCAGGCCCTGACACTGGGAGGGCAACAGAGGAGTGGACAGGGGTCTGGAGCAAAGAGGGGTGGCAGCCTGGATGCCCGATCTGGTGAGCAGGAGGTCCCCAAGAGGGCTGGTGGCAGTCCTCAGGGCTCACATTCCTGGGTGACCAGGCTCCTGCCCTTAGGAATGTGATGGTGCTTTGGGTAAGGAAGAGGGTAACTAGGAGAAGGACCAATGTGAGGGGTTTGACCCTGTTTGTGTGGGGTGAGCCCCTTGGAAAGGGCCACTGAGGGTGTTTAGGGAGGAGCTTTGGCAGCGAGAAGTGACATTCAGGACCGAGAGGGCTGAAGGCAGAGCCATGGGGCTTCAGCCCTTGGGGTCTTTTTGGGCATAGGTGGCTTAGTGAAACAACGAGATGGATATCCCTGGCGACAGCTCCGTGCCTGTGGGGAGCCCCATCCGTGCCGGACCACGTCCCTGGGGTGACATCGGTGGGTGACAGTCTGGTGGCACGTGGTGGGGTCTGTACAGCGTAACCGGCGGTGAGAAGGGCACCGAGACAGGCCCATCCCCGGCTGCTCAGCGCCCATCCTCTGGCGCATCGCCCGCCCCATGGAGAGGAGTCCCCGGGTGCCGTGGGGGGCAGCGGGGGCCTCCCGGGACCCTCCGCTCCCTTATCAAAAGTCGAGGAGGAGACGAGCGAGGAGAGTGGCCCAAAGGCAGAGCCCGGCGCCTGCCCGGGATGCCGCGTTGCCGCCGTCGTGCACTGCTCCGGGGCCTGTGCAGGGGACAGAAGAAGACAAAGGAGAGCATTAAGGGCAGTGCAGGTGACCACGAGTGACCCACCTCCCCATTGTCTTTCATATCCCACACCCCCTGTTCTGGGTGCTCCTGGGATGTTGCATTCCCCACTCTTAGGGATGTTGGTTTATGCATTGTTTGGAGAGCGTTGCTGGTGGTGGTGTTAAGGAGGCAGGCAAAGAGCTTGAGGCACGTCTTTGTTGGAGGAGGAGGAGGAAGGCCCCATAGGCATGAGAAGGTGGCAGAGGACATAGATTATTTGGAGTGTGGCTGTGCAGGCAAGTCTTTAGCAGGAGCACAAGGGTGAAGAAAGAAGTGTGCTGCTGTCTCTTGGTTTGAGTGCTCTTGGCCATTCTGGACTTGAGCCTCTGGGTGGGTAGGAAGGACCCCCTGTGGCTGGGGGTGTTAAGGGGTTCACAGGCTGTATTTGGTGGTGTTTTGGTCCTGGACAGCAGAGTTAGTTGGTGAGGTGTAACACTTGCAAGCTGTTTACCACGGGTTAAGTTTTGACACGGAACGGGAAGGGACAATACGGGAGTTAGCCTTGTGGAAACCAGTTGGCATTGCCAGGGCAATCACAGGGGGTTGATGTGGGGTTTCTTCCTATCAGGCACATGTCGAGGACAGCACTGTGGTTTAACCCCAGCAGAAGCCAGGACAGACAGACAGTGGTGGCAGCAATGAGGAAGAGGAGCAACCAGACACCATTTCAGAGGTGCTTGGAAGTGGGACAACTCATTCTCAGCACTAAAGGCATCAGCCTTTAGTGCTGAGCATGAGCTGGATATGGCATGGGTCAGACATGTGGACTGTCATGTGCATGGCAACGTTTTGATGTCATGGTGTGAGGGGGTTCTTAGGAAGCAGGCAAGGAGGAAGAGGAGGACAAAGAAGATGCAGCCATTGAGGTCTGTGTGTGGAAAGCAGGTTTGTTGCATCTCATAAGATGAAGGCTAGTTGTTTGGGTAGGTAGATGCATGTGGGTGCCAGCTGAGAAGAGCCAGGGAAGCAAAGGCCTGGAGGAGAGACCAGGCACAGGTCTGCCCATGCTCCACATACTGTGGAGAGGCAGGAGAAGATGATGAGGGATAGATATAAGGTTGGAGCATGGCCATGATGTAAGGCTAGGCATGCCACCAGGCCGAAGAGTGTGGTGAGGAAGCTTGGTAGATAGATAGAGGGCTTAATCCCCAGGCAGCTTGGCCCATGTAGACAGAAATGGATGGACAGCCAGAGAAGGAGGTTCCAGATCCAGTACATCAGGAAGTATAAGGAGATCCAGTGAAGACCAAGGGAGACAAAAGGTGACATCCTAGCAGGAGTCACTATGAATCCTCTGGCTGAGATGTAGGCACTGCTGAGCTGTTGTATAGGGAGTTAGGAGGACTATCTGGATAGGTAGGACTTTCTCTTTTAGGACATTTTAGGTATCACTTGCGAGCAGCTCTCAGTCCACAGCACAGAACCACATCTTTGTGGTGGAGACAACGATGGAAGAGGTAATGATGGAGGAGACCATGCATCCATCAGGACTGGACAAAGCAGATGGGCCTGGTGGTGGGTAGGAAAGGTGGCCAACAACAAACACATGAAGAGATGATGGTGGCGGTGGGTACTATTCTTTGCAGGTAGCAGGTCGGGCACCCCAGGATGGTTGGTGACGAGAGCTGCGATTCCAGAAGGGACACAACATTCGGGATGGACTCTGGGCAGGTATAGGAAACCCCTCCCTCCCCCTAGCCCCTTCCTTCCAGAGTGGAAGGAAGGGGAGGGAGTTTTTCCTACCCTTCTTATACCTACCCTTCCTATAATAAGTACCCTCTGGGGTGGGATTATGGTGCCTGGTGCCAATTGACATAGTGCAGGGGGGTCCCTCTGCTCACCCTTTCTTCCCTTTTTATAAGAGGTCCCATCTGGGATGGGATTATTTATGGTGCCTGGTGCCAATTGACAGAGCGCAGGGGGTGGTCCCTCTGCTCCCTAACCCCCATCCCACCCCTTCCCTATCTATATCCCCTTTCTCTATTTACAACCCACTACTCTGATGTAACCAGTCTAATAAAGCTGTGCTAAGCCTGAGTCAGCTGCATAACCCCACCTAGAGTGCCACCTATGCTACCTCAAGTGACACCTATACTACCAAACCTCCACTACCGTATGTGCCACTTACAACACCCAACCTAACACCTATACTATCCAAAGTGCCACCAGCACTACCCAGCTTAATGTGCCAGGTATGCTACCCAGCCTAACACCTACACTACTTAAAGTGTCACATACTCTACTCAACCTAACATCTGTGGTTCCCAAACTGCCACCTGTGCTACCCAACCTGACGCTTACACTACCTAAAGAAGTGCCACACAAAGACCTATGGTTCCCAAAGTGCCACCTCTGCTACACAACCTATCACATATACTACCCAAAGTGCCACCTATGCTACCCAGCCTAACAACTGTGGCTCCCAAATTGCCACCTACAGTATCCAACCTAACACCTATGATATCCAACCTAACACCACCTAAATTGCCAGGTATGCTACCTAGCCTAACACCTACACTACCTAAAGTGCCACATACTCTACCCAGCCTAACACCTATGGTTCCAAAAGTGCCACTTACACTACCCAACCTAACACCTACAGTACCCAAAGTGCCGCCTAGATACCCAGCCTAACACTTACGGTTCCTGAAGTGCCACCTATGCTACCCACCTGTGCTACCCAAAGTGCCACTTAGAGCATCTAATCTAACACTTACAGTACCCAAAGTGACACCTAAATCCCCAATCTAACACTGATGTTATACAACCTACCACTTATGCTTCCCAACTTGATACCTATGCTAGCCAAATTGCCACCTACGATACCCAAGCTACAATACCTATGCTACCTCAAGTGCCAACTACAATACCCAACTCGACACCTACACTTCCCAACCTGCCACTACCTGCACACCTTAACAACTGCCTGTATCCTTGCCAATGGGACAACCTGCAAATACCCTTCACTGTGTCCCCAGAGTGTGTCCTTACCTGCTGGGGCCTTCTCCTCAGGCCTGCGTTCCAACGATGTTCTGTCTCTTCACCATCTGCTGCTCATCCCTCAATACCCACCATAACCACCACCAAGCACTGCTAAGCAGTGCCCTCCTGCTTGGGCCAGTGCAGGTCTCCTCACCATCCTCTGATGTATCCTCCTGCTCAGAGCTCACTCCATTTAGCATCTCGATGGGATGGCATTGTTTCATAAAACCCACTCCCTTTCATCACTGGTCACACATCCTCCTCCTGTTCATCATCCCCCTCCTCTACTTCTTCCTCCTCCTCTTCTCCTTCTTCTTCCTCCTCCTCCTCTTCCTCACTACACCTTGCTGCAAACAAAACCGGGGTACCTACCATACAGGATGATGCTGGCATTGGTGTTGCCCAGCTTGTTTGTGGCCACACACGTGTAGTTGCCATAGTCCTTCTCTGAGACGTTGAAGAAGGTCAGCGTAGACAGGCGGCCCTTGCTCTCGATCCGCACACCCTCCAGTCCATTGGCTAACCTGCAAGGTTCAAAGCCACATTGATGATGCTTAGAGTGCAACGTGTCATGCTCCCTGCCCTTCCCACCAGATAAGTCCCACGCATGCCCCCTCCAGACTCCCCACATCCCATGAAGGCAAGCCCTGAAAAACTCTCCATCCCCTAACCCATCTCCCTGCATAACCTACGCATCCCACATCAACCCTACCAGCCACCACCGTTGCCTCTGGAAGAAACAACCCACTTAGACCCAGCACAATGTGTTGAACCCACTCTGCCTCCATACAAGGCCCTTGACCACCTTAGCTCTCACCTAGTGTCCTCCTTGAACCACTGAAACTCTGCCACGGGGACAGCCGAGGCCTCGCACTGCAGGATGCCCTTCTGGCCCACCGAGGCGCCCGTGTTCTTGGCATTGGAGATGTACGGTGGGTCTGTGGAGATCCCATGCCATGTCACCCTGTGCCACGATCCCACCACCCACCACCATTCCCCCGGCCCTTGCACTCACAGTTGACGGTGACTTTGACTTTCCTCACATCAGGAACAGCCACGTCATTGACGGCGCTGCATTCATACTCCCCGGACTGCTCCCTAGTGATGCCCGTGATCTCCAGGTACTCATCCTCACTGACAAAGCCCTGCCCTGGGAGATGGGCCAAACAGATCACACTGTCACCCACAGACACCAGTGCCTGGATCTCACCCATAGACCTGCCCTCCTCTGACAGCCCCCATTCTGGTCTCCCATTCACTCAGGAAGGTTGAGACATCTTCAACTCATACCTAGGCACGGCATCTCCACCCTCTGCAACAGAAATCTCTGCGCTGCCTTTGGCCACCTCTACAGGGACATAAAACCATAGAATCACAGAATGGTTTGGACTGGAAAGGACCTTAAGATCATCCAGTTCCAACCCTCTGGGAGACATTCCACTAGAACATGCCACCCGAGTCTTTGCCCAACCTGGCCTTGAACACTGCCAGGGATGGAGCGTTCAGCAGTTCTTTTGGCAACCTGTTCCAGTGCCTCACCACCCTCACAGGGAAGAGCTTCTTCCTTAGATCTAACTTGAACTTCCCCTGTTTCAGTTTGAACCCATCACCCCTTGTCCTATTGCTACAGTCCCTGATGAAGAGTCATCTAGCATCCTTGTAGCCCCCTTCAGATCCTGGAAGGCTGCCCTGAGGTCTATGGTCCATCCATCCCACGTGAGATCCTTGCTCAGACCCCTCATCCACTGATCCCTGAGCATGGTCTCACCTTTCCCGGAGAGGTGTCTCCACGTGACGGTGGGCTCTGGTCTCCCAAAAGCCAGGCACATGAGGGTGACGCTGCTGCCCTCATTAACAGTGATGTCTGATGAGATGTTCACAATCTGGGGGGGAACTGCAAGACACAAGCAGGAGGAAACCCACTGTCAAACACACCACCAAGACCTGCCCCATCACCAGTTGGCTGCACCCACCCCATTGCCCTGTCCAGTCACCAATCCAGTGTATCAGACATGGAGGGGTCCCCAGTGCCCTCTGGGGACCAGATACACTGCTTTTCTCCCCAGACACACACATCCAAGATCCCAATATCCAGCTCTTCTTATATCCTGCAACGAGCCTCATATTTTAGCATGTTTATTAAAGAAAGCTGTTTAAATTACTGAGCGTCTGCTCCCTTCAATACCAGCCATGGTGATTTATAGGATTCTATCCCCAGATACTCTATCTAATAAATAACTTCGCAATCTGCACATCCATAAATAACCCTGGCCCTGGCAAAAAGCAATTAAAGCCCATTCCCTGACGCCGCTTCCCAGCTCTCCGAGCAGTCGGACACAGCTCCCTGGGAGTGACTGAGACCTGACACTGCTCCTGCAACACCAGGAATACTGTGCCAACCCCATTCCTGAAGCATACAAGGTGAAGAGACCCCAGGTCGCACAGCATCCCATACCTGACCCTTGAAACAAGGGTGCTCGCACTGGGAAGAGTCAGAAATCTACCACAGCCAATACAGACACTGCCTGGAAAGGGACATCAGGGGTCCCCTGTTGCTGTTTTAATCCAGCCAACGACTACTTACTACACAGCAACTCACTCACCCCTCTTTTTTCCCCTTTCCAAGTGGGATGGGGGGGAGAATCATAGGAATGTAATACCCACAAGTTGAGATAAGTGTTTATAACTACAGTACCATCATAGAATCACAGGATCAACCAAATTGGAAAAGACCTTAAGATCATCAAGTCTACTGCCACTAACCCAAGTCATTGACGGCCTTGCCTACATGGTGTGTGAACACTTGCAGGGATGGTGACTGCAGCATTGCACAGGGCAATGTTCCAATGCCTGAGCACCCTCTGGGGCAGGAATTGTTCCTCAGCTCCATCTAAACCTGCCCTGGTGCAACTTGAGGCCGTTTCCTCTTGTCCCATCCCTTGTTCCTTGGGAGAAGACCTGGCTCCATCCTCCTGCCAGGCAGTTGTAGAGAGCAATAAGGACCCCCCTTGAGCCTTCCTTTCTCCAGATTAAACCCCCCAGGTCCCTCAGCCGTTCCCCATCACACTTGTGCTCCACTGCCCTTCTCTGTCCCCACTCCAGCACCTCAGTGCCTCTCTTGCAGTGAGGGGCCCAGTACTTAACAGTATAAAATATAAAATAGACAATGCATATAAAATAAATTATAATGTATTCTATAATAATAATGATAAGGGAAGTAAACATGGGGATAGAATATAAAGCTAAAAGGGGATAATGCTTCCTCCCAGCTTCTTGTGCCTCTCCTCACTGGCAGAGCACAAGAGCCTGAGAAGTCCTCGGATCAGGGTAAGTATAAGTACTACTTACTTAGCAACAACTAAAACTTCACTGTGTTACCAACGTCATTCTCAGACTAAATCCAAAGCACAGCACTGTACCAGCTACTGGGAAGCAAGTTAACTCTATTCCAACCTTAACCAGAACACCCTACCCCTGCTTTCCCAACCACCTCCCTCAGTGGGGCAAGCCACAGTGGGGACACAGACCGGTCTCTGCAGCCAGATGTGTCCTGCAAGGCAGTAAATTGCCCAACACCTTGACACATGAATACAGAAGTACATGGTCTGTTATAGCAAGGAAGATTGTTTAAGTCCTTCATGGGGGGGAAGCACCAATCTGGAAATGAAAAGTGTGCACTGCTGGAAAATGTAGTTAACGCTCAGAGCGGTGCCAGTTGACTCTGATGAGCTCTGATGGCCCTTCCTTGCTGGGACTAGGAGATGACGTTATCCCCTATTACCAGCCTCCCCGCACCTTGCCCTATCAGTAACAGCAGCTCAGCAGGTACCAGGATCATCTAAAACCAGCTACGTCATCCCAGAAAAGCCCTCCCACCACTGGGCACTTGTCACTCACTCACAATCCTGCAAACCAGTACTCCTCACAAGCAGTGCTAGACCTAAAGGACAGCATCTGGTGGGACCCCAGGATGTCTACCCCTGATCCACAAGTCAGCCTGGCTGTCTTATGTCTGCTATTACCTATAGAAGCTCTAAAGCAGGATGAGGGTGATGCAGGACCAGCAAAATCACAGCCATCGCACTCCCCCTAGGTACCCCTGTTTGGTGACCCTTGCTCTACACCCCACACTACCTGAAAGGCTGTGCCAGCCATGGATGACAGAGGATAAAACCCCAAACACAACACAGACATTATCTTCTGCTCACATCCTTACTAGATATAGGTGCTCCCTGCCAGAGGAAGGCAGGTGCCCCAGGACAGCTAGAACCAACTCCAAACACTCGAGGTGCTGTTTACTCAGAACAGAGCTAGGACTGTCTCACTCTAGGCTGTCCCCCAGGACCATCACCGTTTGTCCTCCAGCAATACACCCCTAGGACAGGGCTACTCCCCCAGGCTGAAAAAGGGGTGACACATGTGGGGTAGGGGGTAATCTGGAGCTTCCCAGCCTTCTTCCAGCTCACAGTCAGCATCCCTTTCCCATCCCCTAACTCCTAAACCCCACATACAAAGTGATACACAGAAACAAGTGTTCTGGACACAGATGTGAACCTCTGCTCCTCCCAGGCACAGAAATACTTTTGCTCCTGTGCAGGAAAATACCACTATCAATACACTCATCAGCCCTAACCCCCTTCCCTTAGCAAAGGATGCTGACACAGTGGAAAGATGAGGCTTGATACCCTGCCATGACAGCGATCGTTGCCTATGAGGTTACCAGGACTTGGAGAAGAACATCTAAAGACCTTGATTACATTTCTATAGATCCTACCAGCCAAGCTGTTGAGGACAACGGCATCTCAAGGGCGCACTGGCTTTGCCTTTAAGCAGGTTTAATCCCATGGGATGAGCGGATGGGAGCCAGGCAAATGCAAGGACACGAGTGCCGGCAGGAGGGATGGATCCAGCACCAAACATGACTGTGCAGCTAAAACCAGCCTGCTGTGCCCTGTAAACACCGTGAGGTGGGTACAGCCAAAGCACACACAGATCTGCCCTGACAAGCACATCCTGCCAGAGCTGCTGTGCCTTGAGACGGGGACCGGTTGGGATCAGGGCTGGGTGCCGAGTTCTAATGCTCTCCTGGTCACCAAAGGCCACACATAGCCCTGCTAATATCTCACAGCCCACCAGCACCACTATGGATGCTGTTCCTATCATTTCCCTACTGACAGCATGCTTTCCTTGGATTCACTTTGTTTCTTTATGTTTACTTGCCCTGCATCCCCTACAGAGCAAATATCCATGACTTAAGACAGTAACCCATAGATTCATAGGATCAACCAGATTGGAAAAGACCTTTAAGTCAAACCATTCTCAGCACTGCCAAGGCTACCACTAACCCATGACGCTGAGGGCCTTGTCTACATGGTGTGTGAACACTTGCAGGGATGGCGACTGAAGCATTGCACAGGGCAGCCTGTTCCAATGCCTGAGCACCCTCTGGGGAAGGAATTGTTCCTCAGCTCCATCTAAACCTGCCCTGGTGCAACTTGAGGCCGTTTCCTCTTGTCCCATCACTTGTTACTCTCCGTACTACATATATAAGATAAGAAACAAACATACTAACAACCAGGTGAACGTACTAACAAGCAGCCAGAGAAGACATTAACAAGATCCCTACCCCCACTTATTCATACTCCTGCCTTCCTTGTAAAAGACTGCGACTAGAAGCAAACTGAATACAGATTAAATCCCAAGGAATAGGGGAGCAGCCCACAGAGGATTTCCTTGACCCTGCATGGTATTAATCACAACTAACTTAATGCATAATGTTTGCTAGGCCAAAAAGAATACATTTGTGCTGTAATTTCTTGTTTGCTTGGAAAGCCGGTGAGAGAAATGGAATGTGAAAGCGATGCCACTAAATTCAATAACAATAAGCCTGTGATTTATCTCCTTCCTTTACCGCGCCAAACCTGAACTGCTTGATGCGGTTCGCTCTCCATCGGAGCACACAGTGTCCCTGCCCTCGCCTCCTAAACCAGAGACTGCAAATAGCCAAGTCATCCCTGTGACATCCCCAAAACCAGCCAGTCCATGCACTTCCTCTGGGCACAAGCACTGCATGTGCTCCACAGCCACCCCATATGGGGACAAAAGCAACCAGGGAGCTTGGACCTCATGTGCTTCTAGCAGACACCCCGATGTGTGCTTAGGGACAGCCACCACCTCAGCAGAGAGCACAGCTCCAGCCCATGTCACTGGCAATCCCTTTTCCCTGCTAAACCACATGGGAAAAGCCAGCACGTCAGGAGTCACTGCGTGACCACTGATTACATGTGATGCTGATGCACACAACCACATGCGAGCTGAGTCATCTCCCAGCTGCTCCTTACATCGATCCCGACTGGAGCCACTCACCATGGCCCTGGACTATATTTAGCTACCAGATCATTCCTGATGGACGCCTCAGAGTGCAAAGCCTGGCTGAGCACTGCAGCTGACACATGCAACCTGTGCTCCTCCTCCGCATCCTTGGCTCCTAGTCCATTAAATGAGACCTCTTCCTAGACCTTCAGTAGGGTGAGATGACACGTGGCTACCTACAAGCTCTACATAATACCAGATGACAACCAATCACCCACCTCTACTCAAGGAACAGGTCCCCACAGAGACTTGCTCTGCCTACAGAAGGGGACATCCCATCTTGAGCACTCAGTGGAAAGGGGATAGCCTCCACAGACATCATGGTGCCCAGGGCCTCCAGATCTTCATGAGCCTCCCTGGTGTAAGAGGGATGGAGCTGTCAGAAGCTCATTAGCTACAGAAACCAGCATAAAGGTGCCAATGATGCTGCAAGCTCCTGTTTGGGGCTGATACCCTTAAAGAAGAAATGTAAGCATGCAAAGTGCCCCCACATCCCATCTAGCCTGGGTGGAAGTGACTTGG